TTTTCTGACTGTTCATAGTTTTAATATAATCCTTTGTTTTTTGTTGCATTGTAACAGCACTAGGTCTTAAAGGATACGTACCAAATGGCAGTCTATTCCCTATAGATTGTACTACTTTTCACCAGGGCCCATACGGCTCTCGGCCAAAGTAGTTCACTATGTAGCAAATAGGGTGGCATTTGGGATGCACCCAAATAGTATAGTTTCTCTTGCTCAGTGATCAGGGTTTCAAGCTGTACAGTGATACTATTAAAAAGCTTTTTCTAAATGATTGTAAATAGCACTAATCTAATGCGTATCCCCTATACTCCTCTTCCAAACTTCAAATGGAATAAATCCATCTGTCAACTAAATAAAGATTATTGAAGTGCAGCCATTGATTTATGACTTAATAAATCTATAAACTAAATAAAGATTATTGAGGTGCAGTCATTGATTTATGACTTAATACATCTATAAACTAAATAAAGATTATTGAGGTGCAGCCATTGATTTATGACTTAATACGTCTATAAACTAAATAAAGATTATTGAAGTGCAGCCATTTGACTTGTGTGATCATTACTCTCATTAAACAATCATTACATTGTGCCTTGTTACAGCCCTCTGTCCTCTGTAGTGCCACTCTGAGAGCAAACAGACAGACAGACAGAGAGAGAGAGAAGGGCGTAATCTCTTACAGTAACAGTACCTCCACTCAATACACCAGTGTGTTTCATTACACCAAGCACAAAACAACACAGGACTATTAGTGATATTACACCACTGACTGACTCACTCAGCCCAAACACTGGCCTACTGTACTCTGTTTTAGAACCCAAACACTGGCCTACTGTACACTTGTTTTAGAACCCAAACACTGGCCTACTGTACACTTGTTTTAGAACCCAAACACTGGCCTACTGTACACTTGTTTTAGAACCCAAACACTGGCCTACTGTACTCTGTTTTAGAACCCAAACACTGGCCTACTGTACTCTTGTTTTAGAACCCAAACACTGGCCTACTGTACTCTTGTTTTAGAACCCAAACACTGGCCTACTGTACTCTGATTTAGAACCCAAACACTGGCCTACTGTATACTTGTTTTAGAACCCAAACACTGGCCTACTGTACTCTTGTTTTAGAACCCAAACACTGGCCTACTGTACTCTGTTTTAGAACCCAAACACTGGCCTACTGTACTCTTGTTTTAGAACCCAAACACTGGCCTACTGTACTCTTGTTTTAGAACCCAAACACTGGCCTACTGTACTCTTGTTTTAGAACCCAAACACTGGCCTACTGTACTCTTGTTGTAGAACCCAAACACTGGCCTACTGTACTCTTGTTTTAGAACCCAAACACTGGCCTACTGTACACTTGTTTTAGAACCCAAACACTGGTCTACTGTACTCTTGTTTTAGAACCCAAACACTGGCCTACTGTACTCTTGTTTTAGAACCCAAACACTGGCCTACTGTACTCTTGTTTTAGAACCCAAACACTGGCCTACTGTACTCTGATTTAGAACCCAAACACTGGCCTACTGTATACTTGTTTTAGAACCCAAACACTGGCCTACTGTACACTTGTTTTAGAACCCAAGCACTGGCCTACTGTATACTTGTTTTAGAACCCAAACACTGGCCTACTGTACACTTGTTTTAGAACCCAAGCACTGGCCTACTGTACTCTTGTTTTAGAAACCAAACACTGGCCTACTGTACTCTGATTTAGAACCCAAACACTGGCCTACTGTACTCTATTTTAGAACCCAAACACTGGTCTACTGTACTCTGTTTTAGAAACCAAGCACTGGCTTAGTGTACTCTTGTTTTAGAACCCAAATACTGCCCTACTGTACTCTGTTTTAGAACCCAAACACTGGCCTACTGTACTCTGTTTTAGAACCCAAACACTGGCCTACTTTACTCTTGTTTTAGAACCCAAACACTGGCCTACTGTACTCTGATTTAGAACCCAAACACTGGCCTACTGTACTCTGTTTTAGGACCCAAACACTGACCTACTGTACTCTGTTTTAGAACCCAAACACTAGCCTACTGTACTCTGTTTTAGAACCCAAACACTTGTCTACTGTACTCTTGTTTTAGAACCCAAACACTGGCCTACTGTACTCTGATTTAGAACCCAAACACTGGCCTACTGTACTCTGATTTAGAACCCAAACACTGGTCTACTGTACTCTGTTTTAGAAACCAAGCACTGGCTTAGTGTACTCTTGTTTTAGAACCCAAATACTGCCCTACTGTACTCTGTTTTAGAACCCAAACATTGGCCTACTGTACTCTGTTTTAGAACCCAAACACTGGCCTACTGTACTCTTGTTTTAGAACCCAAACGCTGGCCTACTGTACTCTGTTTTAGAACCCAAACACTGGCCTATTGTACTCTGTTTTAGAACCCAAACACTTGTCTACTGTACTCTTGTTTTAGAACCCAAACACTTGTCTACTGTACTCTTGTTTTAGAACCCAAACACTGGCCTACTGTACTCTGTTTTAGAACCCAAACACTTGTCTACTGTACTCTTGTTTTAGAACCCAAACACCTTGTTTTAGAACCCAAACACTGGCCTACTGTACTCTTGTTTTAGAACCCAAACACTGGCCTACTGTACTCTGTTTTAGAACCCAAACACTGGCCTACTGTACTATTGTTTTTGAACCCAAACACTGGCCTACTGTACTTTGTTTTCGAACCCAAACACTGGCCTACTGTACTTTGTTTTCGAACCCAAACACTGGCCTACTCTACTCTGTTTTAGAACCCAAACTCTTGCCTATTGTACTCTGTTTTAGAACCCAAACACTGGCCTACTGTACTCTGTTTTAGATCCCAAACATTTGCCTACTGTACTCTGTTTTAGAACAAAAACACTGGCCTACTGTACTCTGTTTTAGAACCCAAACACTGGCCTACTCTACTCTGTTTTAGAACCCAAACTCTTGCCTATTGTACTCTGTTTTAGAACCCAAACAATGGCCTACTGTAATCTGTTTTAGAACCCAAACTCTTGCCTATTGTACTCTGTTTTAGAACCCAAACAATGGCCTACTGTAATCTGTTTTAGAACCCAAACACTGGCCTACTCTACTCTGATTTAGCATTAGCATACGTCCCGGACACACTAAACAAAGGCCATAGCCATATCCCAGGGACAACTCAGGGCCTCCTGGTCCACAGCGGCACATCACACCTTTGATTTAATCCCGGCATAAATTGCTCTCTGCTTGGTTTGGCCCTCTGTGGATAATGTTAGCCACCACTGGTGTAGGGAGAACTACTATTCAAAGAAAAACATTGAGCTAGTACAGTTTCTACGTCCCAAATGGTACCCTATTCCCTTTATAGTGCACTACCTTTGACCAGGGCTGTGGTCAAAAGTAGTGCACTAGATAGGGAAAAGGGTGCAAGTATTTTGGAGAGAGTGGATCGAGTCTGCAATAGTCTGTCCTCCCTGTCATAACGTACCTCACACTGTTAGTAGTCTGTTGTCCTCTCTGTCATAACGTACCTCACACTGTTAGTAGTCTGTTGTCCTCTCTGTCATAACGTACCTCACACCGTTAGTAGTCTGTTGTCCTCTCTGTCATAACGTACCTCACACTGTTAGTAGTCTGTTGTCCTCTCTGTCATAACGTACCTCACACTGTTAGTAGTCTGTTGTCCTCTCTGTCATAACGTACCTCACACTGTTAGTAGTCTGTTGTCCTCTCTGTCATAACGTACCTCACACCGTTAGTAGTCTGTTGTCCTCTCTGTCATAACGTACCTCACACTGTGAGGGTGGTCTTGTTGTTTGTAACCAGTTGTTTCACTATTGCTGCTGTGATTTCATTTAAGCGTCACTAATCCTGTCGAGAAGTTGGCATAAGGTGACTGGGTGTGTGGTCCCTGATGTTATCATCACATTGTATTTATTTATGGAGGTGCTGAAATAGATTGCTGTGACAATGCGATTACTGACAGTAAATTTCAGCCTCACGGTATGTGTGTGTGTGTGTGTGTGTGTGTGTCTTTCTGTGTGTGTGTGGGGGGGTTTCAACACTGTAGCATTTTTTAAAGGTCAGCTAGTGACACTCCTCCTGTGAACAAACCTCCATTGTGATGATGATAATAATAATGTAATCATTGTGTTTTTATCCAAAGCAGTGAACACAGGCTGTTGACTGATATTTGTAACCTCACATACCCTTTCTGATTGCCCCTGAGGTGATTAATCAATTTGACTTGAATTGACTGTATGAGGCCATCTGAACCACTTTCATGTTCCAGTGGTGTATACTCAGGCCGGGATTCAACCACAGCGCACCTTTTAAAAGCTATGTTCCCGAGTTTTCGTGGACCACATTCACGATAAATGCTGCATATGTCGGACATTACCTTTTAAATAGGCCATCCCGCTGAATCCCAGTCAGACTTTAGGCCTACCCACACTGTAATGTTGTTGGTAGCTGGCAGCACCGCACTCAAGCTAATGTTCTCTATCTTCACCAGCAGCATTCACTGGATTCACACTGGCAGGTAATACATGCATCAGTATCTGGCGCCACCTTCTGGCTAGAACATGGTATGACTGGTTGAGAATAAATAAAAGACCAGCAGAGGACTTTTTGTGATGAGTTTTATAGAGGGTAGCCTCCCCTGTTTATTAGACAGTATCAATACTGGTTGAGAGTCAATCAGACAACACAAGCAGAGTGCTTTTTGTAATGAGATTTATAAAGATGCTATTTGAATGTCTAGTTTCATCTCCGTTATATTCTTTGAGAATAGTAGTATCTAACAAAGCCAGAGCGATAAGATGACTCTCTAGCCTATACAAGTCATACTTTTTAAGAGGAAACAGATATTTTACACTGTTACAGAACCAAATGTGTGCGAGTGTCATCTAGTGATAACAGACAGTGTTGGGTTTAGTGTGTTAAAACATGTTATAGCCCTGAGTTAACATGTTATAATCCTGAATTTAAATGTTATAACCTAACCATTCATCTAGTGATAACAGCCACGGTGTTGAGTTTACTCTGTTCTGTCCTGCTATTCCTCCAGCCCTGTCTCCAGCGCCCCAGGATGGCTCTGATCTCCTTGGTCCTGAAGCAGTAGATGAACGGGTTGGCGACCGGGGGGAACAGGCTGTAGAATAGAATAGGTACTTTAGAAGAAGATTACTTTACTTTGTCAGTTAACACAGAAATATTTTCAGTTTAAGTGCCTCGCTCAAAGGCACAACAGTAGTGGTTCATTCCACACTTTCTCATCGCCCGGCCCGGGACTTGGAAGTGGCAACCTTTGGGATCCCGGCCCACCTCTATAACCTGTGGTCTACCTACCTGTAGAAAAGGGTGAGGCCGATGCGGAGGTCAGAGGTCATGGTCAGGTTGGGGATGTAGGGGGTAGAGTAGACTACGAAGCGGGGGATGTAGTAAATAAGGATGATACAGCCCTGAGTAGCACAGGTAGAGAAGGTCTTCAGCCTGCCCTGGGTTAGAGAGAGGAGAGTAGTGGATTAGGGGAAAGGTTTAGTTTAGATAAGAATGATACAGCCCTGAGTAACAGGTAGAGAACGTATTCAGCCTGCCCTGGGTTAGAGAGGGGAGAGATGGAGAAAGGTTCTCAGTGGGTTAGGAGAGAGTACTTTTACATTTTACATTTTAGTCATTTAGCAGACGCTCTTATCCAGAGCGACTTACAGTTAGTGAATACATATATATATATTTTTTTATACTGGCCCCCGTGGGAATCGAACCCACAACCCTGGCGTTGCAAACGCCATGCTCTATCAACTGAGCTACATCCCTGCCGGCCATTCCCTCCCCTACCCTGGACGACGCTGGGCCAATTGTGCGCCGCCCATGAGTCTCCCGGTCGCGGCCGGCTGCCAGGATCTCTAGTGGCACAGTTAACACTGTGATACAGTGCCTTAGACCACTGCGCCACTCAGGAGTAGTACTTAAAATTAGGGACACAGACAAGAGAGGACACACACCCTACCACTCCTCCCATACAGCCCTCCAGCACAACCCCCACCCACCCACCCTCAGCACCCCTCCTCCCACACAGCCCCCCTGCACCCCCCACCCACCTGCACCCTCCACTCCCACCCTCACCACCCCTCTTCCCACACAGCCCCCCTGCACCCCCCACCCACCCTCACCACCCCCCACCCACCCACCCACCTGCACCCCCCACTCCCACCCTCCACACCCCCTGAATTCTGACCTGTGCGTTTGCCATGCGCATCACAGTGACGATGATGTTGACGTAGGAGAAGATGATGAAGGAGAATGGGACGAAGAGGACGAAATAAGCAAGGCCAATGGAGCTGGCCTGGATCGCCGCCATGTTGGAGCACGACAGTTTAGTCAGGGACACAGCATCACAGTAAGCATGGAGGATTCGGTTGGGACCACAGAACGCTACTTTCTGGGAGATAAAACACACACAAAAAAAAGTAATTGTCAATTTGTCAAATGTATTCAGAAAGCCCTTTTTACATTAGCAGTACGTAACCCGGCCTAGACCCCAAAAGAGCGTCACAGTGAATGTGAAGGAGCAGGTTGGGCCCACAGAACGTTACTTTCTGGGAGGTGAAGCAAGGACACGTTTAGAGGAGATACTGTGTCATTCTCAATCAATACGATTTATTTATAAAGGCCTTTTTACATCAGCAATGTCCTTTAAACAGTAACCTAGACTACAAAAAGAAAACCGAATCAGAGTGGTAAGGAAAAACTCCCTAAAAGGAGGACAATTTGAGAGGAACCAGGCTCAAAGGCCCATAGACCCATTTTCTTCTGGCTGCAGCATATGTTTTATTGTAAAAGTATCAAGTTTAAATGTCACGTGAACAAGTACAGTGAAATGCCTTTCTTGCAAGCTCCAAACCCAACAATGCAGTAATCAATATCAATGTCGCACTACAAATAACACAAGGTAGAACAAAAACACAGGAGAAATAAACATAAGAAATAAGAAGAACAGGAGAAAGTAAGAAGCTAAATACAGGGTCAGTTCCAATACCATATTTACAATGTGCAGGGATACTGGAGTGAAAGAGGTAGATATGTATAGGGGTAAGGTGACTAGGCATCAGGATATATGATTAACAGAGTAGCAGCAGTGTATATGATGATTTGAGTGTGTGTGTGTGTGTGTGTGTGTGTGTGTGTGTGTGTGTGTGTGTGTGTGTAGTATATACAGTACTAGTCAAATATATGTTATATTTGAGATTCTTCAAATAGCCACCCTTTGCCTTGATGACAGCTTTGCACACTCTTGGCATTCTCTCAACCAGCTTCATGTGGTAGTCACCTGGAATGCATTACAATTAACAGGTGTGCCTTCTTAAAAGTGAATTTGTGGAATTTCTTTCCTTCTTAATGCATTTGAGCCAAACAGTTGTGTAGTGACAAGGTAGGGGGGGTGTACAGAAGATAGCCCTATTTGGTAAAAGACCAAGTCCATATTATGGAAAGAACAGCTCAAATAAGCAAAGAGAAACGTCAGTCCATCATTACTTTAAGACATGAAGGTCAGTCTATACGGAACATTTCAAGAACTTTGAAAGTTTCTTCAAGTGCAGTCACAAAAACCATCAAGTGCTATGATGAAACTGGCTCTCATGAGGAGCGCCACAGGAATGGAAGACCCAGAGTTACCTCTGCTGCAGAGGATAAGTTCATTAGAGTTAACTGCACCTTAGATTGCAGCCCAAATAAATGCTTCACAGAGTTCAAGTAACAGACACATCTCAACATCAACTGTTCAGAGGAGACTACGTGAATCAGGCCTTCATGGTGAAATTGCTGCAAAGAAACCACTACTAAAGGACACCAATTAGAAGAAGAGAGTTGCTTGGGGCAAGAAACACAAGCAATGAACATTAGACCGGTGGAAATCTGTCCTTTGGTCTGATGAGTCCAAATTTGAGATTTTTTGTTCTAACCGCTGTGTCTTTGTGAGACGCAGAGTAGGTGAACGGATGATCTCTGCATGTGTGTTTCCCACCGTGAAGCATGGAGGAGGAGGTGTGATGGTGTGGGGGTGCTTTGCTGGTGACACTGTCGGTAATTTATTTAGAATTCAAGGCACACTTAACCAGCATGGCTACCAAAGCATTCTGCAGCGATACGCCATCCCATCTGGTTTGCACTTAGTGGGACTATCATTTGTTTTTCAACAGGACAATGACCCAACACATATTTTGAAGAATCTAAAATATATTTTGATTTGTTCAACACTTTTTTGGTTACTACATGATTCCATATGTGTTATTTCATAGTTTTGATGTCTTCACTAATATTCTACAATGTAGAAAATAGTAAAAATAAAGAAAAACCCTTGAATGAGTAGGTGTGTCCAAACGATTCTGTTATTATTTAAACTTATTTTTTTGTGATAAAGATATGCCAATTTGATTTACCTAGAAATGTAACAGTAGTGCCCTGGAACATTGTTTTGTTATGTGCTACCTTGGTGAAGTCTCAGGCTGTTAGGCCCTCTAATGTAATAACGTAATAAAATATAAAATCTCTATTATAAATCTAAAATAATAATGTAGTAACAGTATTATCATTATACATTATTTTATCATTCCAGTACCCTGGTGAAGTCTATGGTGCCGATGGCAGGTGAGACTGTGGCTGACATCCAGGAGAAGACCGTTAGACCACTCATAGTCTGGTTGGTCATCAACATGGGGTATCTAGAGAGGGAGATGGAGGGAGGGAGGAAGGGAGATAGAGAGAGAGGGGGGGATGGAGGGAGATGGGAGTGGGAGAGGACCCCAAAAAATTATGAAATACTTTCCTCCCAACACACTTGATTTATTTTGCATCAATAAAATCATAACGCATAATATGTGTTGTTGTTGTTGTTACCTGAGAGGGTAGCAGATAGCTAGGTACCGGTCCATAGCCATGGTCATCATGATGAGAGAGTTGAGCGTTCCAAAGTAGTGGATCATTTGTTCCTGGAACAGACAGGTATGAAAGGAGATCGTCCCGTCATCCCACCACCACCGAGCTATCACTTTGGGAAGGGCCACTGTGGCAAAACCTGGAGGGGAGGGGAGAGAGAGGAGGGGAAGGGAGCGGAGAAAAGAGGAGAGAGGAGAAGAGAGGAGAGAGGAGAAGAGAGGAAACCACGTTAGATTATTGAGACAGACAGGAAATCCTCCTGTTGTCCCACCAGCACCAGGCTATCACCTATGGCAGGGCCACTGTGGAAACATTCTGGGCCCCTAGTTCTAACCTCTGTCTCTGCGAGAGAAATGAAACACAGCGGCCTTGTTCAAATGCTCATCCTTTTCTTGACGTAATCACTGATCGATAACAGATCTGTACATCACTGTCTAACGTCAGAGAGGGATTCTCCACATGATTAAAGGAGGGACACATGATACACATTTTAACAGGACACTTTTCCTCTCATGACCTCTCCCCTCTCATTACTGCCTGAGCACCAGCAAGACACATTTAAACTCCCTCAGCAGTCACATTGGGGAAGGACAGAAAGAGAGAGATAAAGGGTACACATTTGAACAGGATAAACATTCTACCTATACCTGATAGAACCAGGCTCAGTATCTCTTACCTATATCTGACAGAGCCAGGCTGAGTATCTCTTACCTATATCTGACAGAGCCAGGCTGAGTATCTCTTACCTATACCTGATAGAACCAGGCTGAGTATCTCTTACCCATATCTGACAGAGCCAGGCTGAGTATCTCTTACCTATATCTGACAGAGCCAGGCTGAGTATCTCTTACCTATATCTGACAGAGCCAGACTGAGTATCTTACCTATATCTGACACAACCAGGCTGAGTATCTTACCTATATCTGACACAACCAGGCTGAGTATCTTACCTATATCTGACAGAGCCAGGCTGAGTATCTCTTACCTATATCTGACAGAGCCAGGCTGAGTATCTCTTACCTATATCTGACAGAGCCAGGCTGAGTATCTCTTACCTATATCTGACAGAGCCAGACTGAGTATCTTACCTATATCTGACACAACCAGGCTGAGTATCTTACCTATATCTGACACAACCAGGCTGAGTATCTTACCTATATCTGACACAACCAGGCTGAGTATCTTACCTATATCTGACACAACCAGGCTGAGTATCTTACCTATAACTGACAGAACCAGGCTGAGTATCTTACCTATATCTGACAGAGCCAGGCTGAGTATCTTACCTATATCTGACACAACCAGGCTGAGTATCTTACCTATATCTGACAGAGCCAGGCTGAGTATCTTACCTATATCTGACAGAGCCAGGCTGAGTATCTTACCAATATCTGACACAACCAGGCTGAGTATCTTACCTATATCTGACAGAGCCAGGCTGAGCATGATGATGTACATGGGTTTCTGCAGGCTGCGCTCCAGGGCAAACAGCACCACCAGCAGGAAGTTCCCCACCACCGTGGTCACATAGATGAAGAAGAAGAACCAGGCCACCAGCTGGTAGAAGGATGGATGAAGCCCCGGGAAGCCCACGATCACAAACTCTGACACACGCGTGTAGTTCTCATTCACCTCAAACATTCTGTACTGGGGAAGGTGGGGGGATGGTGGGGGAGAGAGAAAGCCTCTCATAATGAAGAGATACAGATACTGTATCTTTTCATCCTTACCTCCCAGGTTAGAGAGAGAGAGCGAGAGAGAGATAGATAGATGCTGAAGACCCTGGATGATCCCTCTTCATCCTTACCTCCCAGGTCAGAGAGAGAGATAGTGAGTGGGAGAGAGAGAGCTACACAAAGAGAAAGAAAGAGAAAGAGAGAGAGCGAGAGATAGATGCTGAAGACCCTGAATGATCCCTCTTCATCCTTACCTTCCAGGTTAGAGAGAGAGTGGGAGAGAGAGAGCAACACAAAGAGAAAGAGATTCTGAAGACCCTGGATGATCCTTCTTCATGCTTACCTCCCAGGTTAGAGAGAGAGATAGTGAGTGACATATAAAGTGACATACATATAAATAGCTAGATCCTGGAGACCCTACATCTCTCCATCCTTACCTCCTAAAATGGTGAGATTAATAGAGAGATAGTAAGAGAGTTACATAAAAGAGAGATGTTGAAGACACTGGAGGATCTCTCTCTCTCTCTCTCTCTCTCTCTCTCTTTCTCTCGCTCTCTCTCTCTCTCTCGCTCGCTCTCCTTACCTCCTTCACAACCAGTGGCCCCAGAGGTCTGTGGCGTTAGCCACTCTGTACCTCACAGCTTTATACCCAGCATGCCCTCTGACAAGACAGCCAACAGCCAATCAAAGACCTCCTCCCTGGTGATGTCATCGTTGTCACATCACTCAATCACAGAAAGTTTTCTGTAAGTATTATAACATGGTGTACTGAAAATGTTGTACAGCAAGGGTAGGCAACTAGATTCAGCCGCGGGCCGATTTTTGTTGGAGCGAATGGTTAGGCGTTCCCCTCTGCACAGCAGAAGCCACGGTTTGAGTCCCCATTGCACGGTTCGTGTCTCTCTCCCGCTACATTGGTGGCATCGGTGGGATCACTCCAGTTGTCTCATGAGGCTTGGGGAAGTTTAACTTGTTTGTGTTTGTGGCTTGGTGCACAACAAAGCGTAAAGCACCAATCTGCATTTCAAACAAAGAACAAAGTGGTCACCCCACCACTTGTTTTGGTAAACAGCCGAGGGATGGGGCCTGAGAAATATAACCACTCTCAAATTCATAGACAGAGCTGTGGACGCAAGGACTGACCACAGTCTAACGGAAAACTGACATTTATACTGTAATTTGGGGTATTTATTAACAGTAAAATACTGTGAAAAATGTTACTGCAGCATACTGTGGTGCATATGGTGCATTGTGGGAAAGTTTTGTGGACAGGGAAATAATTACACCATTTTGAATGGTAACCCCCACAGACTACAGTATCGTACAGTATTTTTGGAGCAACAGAAACCTTTTGACCACTAGTGGGTGGTATTGTTGTTTCTGGCTCATTAACATAAAGCATTTGTGCCAGCCATCAGTGAGAGTGCTGTACCAATTTAACTGCTGTGTGTTAGTAATGCCCCAGGAATTTAAAATGTGGCAGCAAAGTCTTAAACATTTCATTGTTGAGCGTTTTTGCCATGCCGTTTTGGTCTGTTTTGCCTTGTAGTCGCTGCCAGTTTGGAAGCCTTTGTTAAGGCCTTTAGAAGTGCAAGAGATATAAAACACAGAATATTAAGTAATATGCTTTATGCGTAAACATACCTAGCAGCCAACCTGCTTGCACCAATCCAATGTAATTACAGTACAATTCTGTGAAATGCAAACCCCACCTATCTCAATGAATGTCATCCATCCATCTACTCATTGATTAATTAATTCATTCATTCATTACAATTAGAGTAGCAGACTTTTTTACAGTAATAATTATAGTTTTAACCATGTTTTGAAGCTAAACAGTGTTTGTTTACGTTTACTTAGTTTACAAGCTGTGGAGTAAAACAAGCTTATATTTTGGGTTCTGATGGAGTTGAATTAAGCTCATGAGGCATTTATAAGTTATATTCTGCAAGAATCAATGGCTATATATCATACATTTTTTAGTTTAAAAATGTACAGTCGTGGTCAAAGTTTTGAGAATGACACAAATACTAATTTTCACAAAGTCCGCTGCTTCAGTTTTGATGATGGCAATTTGCATATACTCCAGAATGTCATGAAGAGTGATCAGATGAATTGCAATTAATTGCAAAGTCCCTCTTTGCCATGAAAATGAACTTAATCCCCCAAAAAAAAAACATTTCCACTGCATTTCAGCCCTGCCACAAAAGGACCAGCTGCCATCATGTCAGTGATTCTCTCGTTATCACAGGTGAGAGTGTTGACGAGGACAAGGCTGGAGATCACGCTGTCATGCTGATTGAGTTAGAATAACAGACTGGAAGCTTTAAAAGGAGGGTGGTGCTTGAAATCATTGTTCTTCCTCTGTTAACCATGGTTACCTGCAAGGAAACACGTGCCGTCATCATTGCTTTGCACAAAAAGGGCTTCACAGGCAAGGATATTGCTGCTAGTAAGATTGCACCTAAATCAACCATTTATCGGATCATGAAGAACTTCAAGGAGAGAGGTTCAATTGTTGTGAAGAAGGCGTCAGGGTGCCCAAGAAAGTCCAGCAAGCGCCAGGACCGTCTCCTAAAGTTGATTCAGCTGCGTGATCGGGGCACCACCAGTGCAGAGCTTGCTCAGGAATGGCAGCAGGCAGGTGTGAGTGCATCTGCACGCACAGTGAGGCGAAGACTTTTGGAGAATGGCCTGGTGTAAAGAAGGGCAGCAAAGAAGCCACTTCTCTCCAGGAAAAACATCAGGGACAGACTGATATTCTGCAAAAGGTACAGGGATTGGACTGCTGAGGACTGGGGTAAAGTCATTTTCTCTGATGAATCCCCTTTCCGATTGTTTGGGGCATCCGGAAAACACCTTGTCCGGAGAAGACAAGGTGAGCGCTACCATCAGTCCTGTGTCATGCCAACAGTAAAGCATCCTGAGACCATTCATGTGTGGGGTTGCTTCTCAGCCAAGGGAGTGGGCTCACTCACAATTTTGCCTAAGAACACAGCCATGAATAAAGAATGGTACCAACACATCCTCCGAGAGCAACTTCTCCCAACCATCCAAGAACAGTTTGGTGATGACCAATGCCTTTTCCAGCATGATGGAGCACCTTGCCATAAGGCAAAAGTGATAACTAAGTGGCTCAGGGAACAAAACATCGACATTTTGGGTCCATGGCCAGGAAACTCCCAAGACCTTAATCCCATTGAGAATTTGTGGTCGATCATCAAAAGGCGGATGGACAAACAAAAACCCACAAATTCTGACAAACTCCAAGCATTGATTATGCAAGAATGGGCTGCCATCAGTCAGGATGTGGCCCAGAAGTTAATTGACAGCATGCCAGGGCGGATTGCAGAGGTCTTGAAAAAGAAGGATCAACACTGCAAATATTGACTCTTTGCATAAACTTAATGTAATTGTCAATAAAAGCCTTTGACACTTATCGAATGCTTGTAATTATACTTCAGTATACCATAGTAACATCTGACAAAAATATCTCATAACACCGAAGCTGCGAACTTTGTGAAGACCAATACCTGTGTCATTCTCAAAACTTTTGACCACGACTTTATGTACCAATCCTGGATTGCCCCTTCAAGGCTTATACTGCCGGCATCAAAACGTATAAAATGTGATTTGATGACATCGGTCTTATTTGATGTGATGTGACATTTCAAATAAAGATATGATTGTTACTGTCTGAGTGTGTTATAGCCTCTTCTTTCACAAAGCAAACTACCAGACAGCAAAAACAAGTGTAAATGTGTCTTGTTTACCATATTGAATAATGAAATGTAAAAAACATATCAGATCTGTTTTAAAAAATGATTCAGGTCTGGGGCTCAACTCCTGCATGACCAGATGAACTTTCGGCCAAAGGCTTCCTTCATAGGTGAGAGAACAGGAGATGTGTGCAGTCATAACGCCTTCTGTGTGATTTTATAAGCGGCAGGCTGCCTGAGTGCCTGTCAGCTGGCTATGGGGTGGATGGAGGGTTTGTGATGTGCGTTGGACCCACTTGGCCAGGGAAGCCTTGATCTCCTTGGTACGGAGGCAGTAGATGAAGGGGTTGAGGAGGGGAGGCAGCAGACTGTAGAAGAAGAAGAAGAATACTTTATTAAGCCATACAAGATGGACTGGTCTTCTGCTGTACCAAACTCCTCTGACACACACACACACACACACACACACACACACACACAGTTGGAGAGATGGGCAACTACTAGTGCAGTGCCCGGTGAGGAGTTTAGGGGTTACGTGCCTTGCTCAAGGGCACAATGGCACAATGGCAGGTGAAGGCATCTAGGACACTGACGCCGACAACCCTCCACTCCCAACCACATTTTTCCCTGTCAAACATGGGATTCAAACTGACAACCTTCCGGTTGCTGGCCCGCTTCTCTAACCTCTAAGCTACCTGCCTGTAGAGCAGGGTCAGGCCGATAACAAAGTCCTGGCTGATGGACAAGTTGATGATGCTAATGGTGTAGACGCAGCACCGGGGGACGTAGTACAGAGAGATGATACACAGCTGGGAACTACAGGTGGAGAAGGTCTTCCACTGACTCTGGATGGCAGGGACAGGAGGGGAGGGGAGATGAGAGGGGGAGAGAGGGACAGGAGGGGAGGGGAGAGAGGGACAGGAGGGAAGGGGAGAGAGGGACGGGAGGGGAGAGGGGGACAGGAGGGGAGGGGGAGAGAGGTACAGGAGGGGTAGGGGAGAGGGGGACAGGAGGGGAGGGGGAGAGGGGGACAAGGAGGGGAGGGGGGAGAGAGGGACAGGAGGGGAGGGGAGAGGAGAAAAGGACAGGAGGGGAGGGGGAGAGGAGAAAAGGGACAGGAGGGGGAGAGAGGGACAGGAGGGGAGGGGAGAGAGGGACGGGAGGGGAGAGAGGGACATGAGGGGAGGGAAGGGGAGAGAGGGACAAGAGGGGAGGGGGAGAGAGGGACAGGAGGGGAGGGACAGGAGGGGAGGGGAGAGAGGGACAGGAGGGGAGGGGAGAGAGGGACAGGAGGGAGGGGAGGGGAGAGAGGGACAGGAGGGGAGGGGGAGAGAGGGACAGGAGGGGAGGGGAGAGAGATGGACAGGAAGGAAGGGGAGAGAGAGGGACAGGAGGAGAGGGGGAGAGAGGGACAGGAGGGGAGGGGAGAGAGGTACGGGAGAGGAGGGAGAGAGGGACAGAAGGGGAGGGAGGGGGAGAGAGAGAAGGTCAGATGGGGAGGGGAGAGAGGAGAGAGGTTTAGTTCAGATGGGGAGTTCACAGACATAAAACAACGCACACATACTGTTTACACACACGCACGCCCAACATATGCACACACACACACACACACTCCCGCTCACCTGTGTGCTGGCCATTCTGAGCACGGCCATAACTATGTTGACATAGGAGAAGATGATGAAGCCGAAGGGGAGGAGGAGGACGAACATGGCTATTGAGAAGGATACTCTGCTTTGGGACGAGATGTCAGCACACGAAAGCCTGTTGAGTGAGTGATTGTTTGACTGTCTAATTGATGGATTGATTGAATTTGTCAATTTAAAAAATCCATACATGTGTACAGACAGTAAACACTGCACATTAAAGGGCCAATCTGGGATTCAAACGACAACAAAGCGGACACCCCTCCACTTTTTTGGGGATAACCAGCTGATGATGGGGCTAGAGAAATGTAACCACAAACAAACACGCATACACACTGACTTGTTGAGAGATATGGTGTCGCAGTAGCAATGGATGATGCGGTTGGGCCCACAGAAAAACATCTGGGATGACTGGATGGTGGTGATGCCTGGAGCTATCATGGCTGACACCCAGGACATGGCTGTTAGGAGAGACATGGTCCTGTTGGTCATCAGCTTAGTGTACCTGGTAGAGAGGGAGAGGGGTGGGAGAGGGGGAAGAGAGGTATGGGAGAGGGCGGAGAGAGGTGTGGGAGAGGGGGGAGAGAGGGGTGGGAGAGGGGGGAGAGAGGGGTGGGAGAGGGGGGAGAGAGGTGTGGGAGAGGGCGGAGAGAGGGGTGGGAGAGCGGGGGAGAGAGGTGTGGGAGAGGGGATGAGAGAGTGGTGGAAGAGGGGGGAGAGAGGTGTGGGAGAGGGCGGAGAGAGGGGTGGGAGAGGGGGAAGAGAGGTATGGGAGAGGGCGGAGAGAGGGGTGGGAGAGGGGGAAGAGAGGTGTGGGAGAGGGGATGAGAGAGGGGTGGGAGATGGGGAAGAGAGTTGTGAGTGAGGGGTGGGAGAGAAGAGAGCAACACCAGGGTTGTGGGTTTGATGTTTTGTGTGCTTGGTGTTATCTTTAAGTTGTATTGCATAAAAGGCTGATTTTTATCTTAACATAATATAATGTATGCCATTAAGCAGACACTTTTATCCAAAGCGACTTAGAGTCATGCATGCATAATTTTTTTATGTAACAAACCTGATGTTGCAAGAGCCATGCTCTACCAACTGAGCTACAGTGGACCAAAAGTGAAATAGACAGGTACCGGTCCATAGCCATGGTTATCATTATGAGAGAGTTAGGGTTAGGGTAAGGGTTAGGGTTAGGGTTAAGGTTAGGGTTAGGTAAATCTATGTTACCTGAGAGGGTAGCAGATAGCCAGGTACCGGTCCATAGCCATGGTCATCATGATGAGAGAGTTGAGCGTTCCAAAGTAGTGGATGAGTTGTTTCTGTATCAGACACAGATAGAAAGAGATGCCAGCGTCGTCCCACCACCACCGAGCTATCACTTTGGGAAGGGCCACCGTGCAGAACCCTGGGAAAGGACAAGCACCACAACATATCAAAATTTAAATAAATATAAAAAAATGTTGTGCTATGCAGATTCGAAAACAGGCCACACATTTGAACAGGAAGTTCATGGTAACGTCCTTACAGACACACATTTTAACAGGATAACCTTTCTGTCATGACTTCTTCCGTGTCTTACCTATATTTGACAGAACAAGGCTGAGTATCTTACCTATAACTGACAGAACAAGGCTGAGTATCTTACCTATATTTGACAGAACAAGGCTGAGTATCTTACCTATATCTGACAGAGCCAGGCTGAGTATCTTACCTATATCTGACAGAGCCAGGCTGAGTATCTTACCTATATCTGACAGAACCAGGCTGAGTATCTTACCTATATCTGACACAACCAGGCTGAGTATCTTACCTATATCTGACACAACCAGGCTGAGTATCTTACCTATATCTGACAGAGCCAGGCTGAGTATCTTACCTATATCTGACAGAGCCAGGCTGAGTATCTTACCTATATCTGACAGAGCCAGGCTGAGTATCTCTTACCTATATCTGACAGAACCAGGCTGAGTATCTTACCTATATTTGACACAACCAGGCTGAGTATCTTACCTATATCTGACAGAGCCAGGCTGAGTATCTTACCTATATCTGACAGAACCAGGCTGAGTATCTTACCTATATCTGACAGAACCAGGCTGAGTATCTTACCTATACCTGACAGAACCAGGCTGAGTATCTTACCTATATCTGACAGAGCCAGGCTGAGTATCTTACCTATATCTGACAGAACCAGGCTGAGTATCTTACCTATATCTGACAGAGCCAGGCTGAGCATGATGATGTACATGGGTTTCTGCAGGCTGCGCTCCAGGGCAAACAGCACCACCAGCAGGAAGTTCCCCACCACCGTGGTCACATAGATGAAGAAAAAGAACCAGGCCACCAGCTGGTAGAAGGATGGATGAAGCCCCGGGAAGCCCACGATCACAAACTCTGACACACGCGTGTAGTTACTTGGGAGCATACTGCACGGGGAGAGAATATTATGGATTGATCCCACCGCTGCCACCAATGTACTGAGGAGAGAGTAATATGGATTGATCCCACCGCTGCCATCAATGTACTGAGGAGAGAATAGTATGGAGTGATCCCAGGGGCGTCATGCACCCTAAAAATCTGAGGGGGCGCAAAGTACATGAGGGTGGTCTGGAGGGGGGCTAGAATTTTGAATTTTTCAAACACCCGAAACAGCTTTTTCTTACAATCTAGAGCCATAATAATGTATCTGCGTCTCCTACATTCTAGAGCCATAATAAGTTATCTGCGTCTCTAAGCGTACCACTTGTGCTCTTTGTGTCGTGATTGGCTTCGCTGCATCTCTGCTAAAATGTGGGTAAAAGATTGAAAGGAATGTGAGTCTTATTCAGTACATTTAATTGTTGCTTGCTTTTCTAAAGTCTACCAACCTTGGCAGCAGGCATGCCAGCTAAGATAGTTAGACAAGCTGGCTACTCTAACTTGATTGATAGCCTGAAATGGCTTCTTGGTAGCTAGTTATGAGGTTGGGAGATTGGGAACCTATCTGGTATAAAGCTTCATAAAATTGCTAGGTGGCTAATAGCATTACAGAGAAACAACAACAACAACAATTAATGGGCATGACGCCTCTGATCCCACCGCTGCCACAATGTACTGAGGAGAGAACAGAATGATTGACAATACAACACCATTATGATAGACAATACACCATCATTATGATAGACAATACACCATCATTATGATAGACAATACACCTTCATTATGATAGACAATACACCATCATTATGATAGACAATACACCAAACACAAGTCAAACACAAATCTAACCGCTACTGTACTCAACTGAGTACAGAAGCAGTTACTGAAAAATGTTTGCCCTGATAAAAGACCATCAGTTAAAAAAGACCTTCCAACACTACAGTATAGTAACAGGTATAATATAACATAATATAGTCATAACATAACAAACAGTATAATGATAACATATATAGATGTACCTCTCTTTTTGATGGTGGCCAGAGAATGGACTCGCCTTCACACACCTTCTGATTTAAATACTATCGACAGGGGCTCCATCCTAAAGAGGGAGTGTGTGTGCATGTGATGCTCTTACTGTACGGGATGGGAGGGGATAATTATGTGACTGGTACAATATGTGCCTTCTATGAGGTTACAGGCCATGCCGCCTCTCCCATTACAATAAATTAATGTGTGTATGTGTGTTTGTATGTTTATGTGTGTGGTAAATATCTGATTCCTTGACCATGTAGATAATGTATTGTATACTACTAGAATGTATAGTCCCTGTAAAACAATATTATTCAAAGTCAAGGTCGCGACCCCGAATTGCAGTGGGGTTGCCAAAATATACTGTACAAAAATATCAACGCAACATGTAAAAGTGTTGGTCCCATGTTTCATGAGCTGAAATAAAAAGATCCCAGAAATGTTACATTCGCACACAAAGCTTCTTTCTCTCAAATGTTGTGCACAAATGTGTTTACATCCCTGTTAGTGAGCATTTCTCCTTCACCAAGATAACCCATCCACCTGACAGGTGTGGCATTCAAGAAGCTGATTAAACAGCATGATCATTAAACAGGTGCACCTTGTGCTGGGGACAATAAAAGGCCACTCTAAAATGTGCAGTTTTGTCACACAACACAATGCCACAGATGTCTCATGTTTTGAGGGAGCGTGCAATTGGCATGCTGACTGCAGGAATGTCCACCAGAGAATTCAATGTTAATTTCTCTACCATAAGCCGCCTCCAACGTCGTTCTAGAGAATTTGGTAGTATGTCCAACCGACCTCACAACCGCAGACCATGTGTATGGCGTTGTGTGGGCGAGTGGTTTGCTGATGTCAACGTTGTGAAGAGAGTGCCCCATGGTGGCGGTGGGGTTATGGTATGGGCAGGCATAAGCTACAGACAATGAACACAATTGCATTTTATCAATGTCAATTTGAATGCACAGAGATACTGTGACGAGATCCTGTGGCCCATTGTGAAGGACATATTTTTTTAAGGTGTCTGTGACCAACAGATGCATATCTGTATTCCCAGTCATGTGAAATCCATAGATTAGGGCCTAAATAATTAATTTAAATTGACTGATTTCCTTATATGAACTGTAACTCAGTAAAATCTTTGAAATTGTTGCATGTTGCATTTAGATTTTTGTTCAGTATATGTTTATACAGTGTATTCGGAAAGTATTCAGACCTTCACTTTTTCCACATTTAGTTATGTTACAGCCTTATTCTAAAATGGGTTTAAAAAATGTTTCCCCCTCATCAATCTACACACAATACCCTATAATGACAAAGCAAAAACAGTTATCTTTTAAACGGAAATATCACATTTACATAAGTATTCAGAACCTTTACTCAGTACTTTGTTGAAGCACCTTTGGCAGCGGTTACAGCCTTGAGTATTCTTGGGTATGACGCTACAAGCTTGGCACACCTGTATTTGGGGAGTTTGTCCCATTCCTCGCTGCAGATCCTCTCAAGCTCTGTCAGGTTGGGATGGGGACCATCGCTGCACAGCTATTTTCAGGTCTCCAGAGATTTTCGATCGGGTTCAAGTCCAGGCTCTGGCTGGGCCACTCAAGGACATTCAGAGACTTGTCCCGAAGGCACTTCTGCATTGTCTTGGCTGTCTGCTTAGGGTCGTTGTCCAGTTGGAAGGTAAACCTTCGCCCCAGTCTGAGGTCCTGAGCGCTTTGGAGCAGGTTTTCATCAAGGATCTCTGTACTTTGCTCCGTTCATCTTTGCCTTAATCATGACTAGTCTCCCAGTCTCTGCCGCTGAAAAACATCCCCTCACCATGATGCTGCCACCACCATGCTTCACCGTAGGGATGGTGCCAGGTTTCCTCCAGATGTGATGGTTGGCATTCAGGCCAAAGAGTTCAATCTTGGTTTCATCAAACCAGAGAATCTTGTTTGTCATTGTCTGAGATTCTTTAAGTGCCTTTTGGCAAACTCGAAGCAGGCTGTCATGTGCCTTTTACTGAGGAGAGGCTTCCGTCTGGCCACTCTACCATAAAGTCCTGATTGGTGGAGTGCTGCAGAGATGGTTGTCCTTCTGGAAAGTGCTCCCATCTCCACAGAGGAACTCTAGAGCTCTGTCAGAGTGACCATTGGGTTCTTAGCCACCTCCCTGACCAAGGCCCTTCTCCCCCGATTGCTCAGTTTGGCCGGGCGGCCAGATCTAGGAAGAGTCTTGGTGGTTCCAAACTTCTTCCATTTAAGAATGATGGAAGGCACTGTGTTCTTGGAGACCTTCAATGCTGCAGAATTTTTTTGGTACCCTTCCCCAGAACTGTGCCTCGACACAATCCTGTCTCTGAGCTCTACAGACAATTCCTTCGACCTCATGGCTTGGTGTTTGCTCTGACATGCACCGTCAACTCTGGGACCTTATATAGACAGGTGTGTGCCTTTCCAAATCATGTCCAATCAAATTAATTTACCACAGGTGGACTCCAATCGAGTTGTAGAAACTTCTCAAGGATGATCAATGTGAGCCCCTAATTGAGTACCACAGTTTGAGTCATAATAAAACCTAGCGGTAAAACCTGGAAATGTTTCCAATCATTATTTCACCATTCATTTTTGCGTCAGGGATTTTAGAACTACTTCATATAAGGTTTGTGTTTCGTGTAGGCTTACCCTCTCTCGGACAAGGTCACTTTTATCAATATATTTGATTGTAATTACCCCTGCTAACAAGCAATTTTGGCAAGGTCAAATATCGGTGGTTAGCTAGGTGCTTATGAAAATTCGCTAGATACCCACCGACTGTAGTTACGTGTACAACACACATTACCTTCCTTACAAGTAAAAAGAAAACCAGCATAGGCTAGCATAATGACTGTTGTGACCTTTTTAGTCTTTAGTGAGCTAGCCAGCTACTTTTTCATATGGTGACATGCTAGCTAGTGTTAGACCAACAGGGAAGGGATATTTAGCTAGCTAGTTAATATTTAGCCAGCTAGTTAACCGTTTGTGTAGTCAAACTTGCTAGCTAATGATAGGCTGGTACCATGGCAAGGATAGTTGGTTAGCTAACATGTCACCACTTAGAAAAGTCTGATTACAAGAACGATGAGCTAATGTTAACTAGCTAGCTAGCTAAATATTGCCTGGTGGGCTAGCTAGTTAGGCACCTTGATTGGCTAGTTAGCAACATTAGCTAAAGTTGGCTAGCTGCTCACAAAGGACTTGTGGGCTCAATGCTTTCCCCATACAAAACACAGAAACGGTTTTGTTTCACGAGTGCATCTGTTGTGACCTTTTTATTGACAAGTCTTTAGTGACCTAGCCAGCTAGTTAACTATTTAGAACCCATAGATGCCGTCGACTGCTTTTCTTTAAATTACTATAGCAGCCGCCAACGGCCTTGTTCTTCTAACAATAATATCTATGTCAATATCGCAAAATTAAAAGCTATCAACCTGGCTGTTCTCATCAACCAGAAACCGAGTATGCTGTCATTTGACTTTTCAACGTTTTTTTCACATCATTACTCAAAATGACAGCACCGAAGCGGACCCGACTTTTCACTGTGAAAGTTGGTGATACGGATTCGGACACGTCCTTGCACTTTGAAAAGCGATGATGTCGAGGTGAGTGAAATAAATCAACAGCAGATACATGTTTGGTGTTGTCGATGTTTGGTGCTTTGAAATTTGGGGAATAGCTCTCAGATTAACAAGTCCTGTCATGATAACTTGGTTGGTACAGGTGAGCACATCAGCGGTGAAGCTCGATTGTTTGCTCTCTGTCTCATGGAAATAGTTGCAGTGTTTAGCTGTATATAGTCAGCTAACTAGTTGGTTGTTTTGTCTTGTTTCTACCGATTTAATTAATATGGGAACAGCCCAAGCTGCTTGTTATAGCTAGCTAGCAAGCAAACTAGTCAGTCTGTCAGGCAAGAAAAGCTGGGTGTAGTGGTAAATTTGAGCTCTGCTCACAAA